TGAAACTCTCTCAGTAGACTCTCTCCCTTTATTTTTTTTATTTTTTATTTCTTATTTTTTATTTTTTTGAGTTGGAGTCTCACCCAGTCGCCCAGACTGGAGTGCAGTGGCCGCTCCCGGCCACCACAGCCTTGCCTGCTGGGCTCAGGTATCCTTCCACCTCAGCCTTCCGAGTAGCCGGAATTACAGGCATGCGCTACCATGCCCGGCTGATTTTTTGATTTATTGTAGAGATGAGGTCTCGCTGCCCAGGCGGGTCTCGAACCCGCGGGCTCAGGCAATCCACTCACCTCAGCCTCCCAAAGGCACGGGATTACAGGCTGAGCCACCGAGCCCGGCTCGACTCTATCCCTTTAATTGTGGTCTGTATGTTTATAGTTTCTCGGCATAACAAAGACATATATTGTTTGTCTTAAAGTATTCAGGGAGGACTTGATTCTTCACACTGAAATTCTTTTCCTGGCTACATGCTATAATCAGAGGATTCCCAGAACTGCATCTACCTCCTGTCTTATATCTGAATCAAAAACACCTGGCAGTTTATCTACCTCATCAACTCCCTCAACATGGCTTTACTTCATAACTGTAAATTCTGGATCAAATATTTTTAAAAGTATAAACAGTATATTACTTTTATTCTTTCTCTTGCCACAAGAAGTGGGAAGAAGACAAATTAGTAGTTAGAAAACTATATTTAGAGTTCAAGCTTGGCCGTTAACATGTAGCATATAAAATCATGACTCAACCAAAAGTTAACCATACTTTTGATGACCTTGTTCCATTCTTCCTGACATCCACTAAAAATCTCCAACTCTCTAAATCTCTAAAGGACCCACTTCTGAACACTATCAACTACCCACCACCACCTACCCTGCTGATTTTTACATGAAATAATTACAGAACTTTCCTTCTGGATTAAAGCAAAATCCTGTGAAGCCCTAGTTTCTACATCCACCCTCAAGAAGGTCCAGGATTGAACCCACCCTGTTCCATATCAACCATTCCCCAAAACATCAGTCCTTGGTATTGTGTCTCCTCCAGAATCCTTTCGATCCCATACTGCTTCCTCTCCCCAATTTTCCTTCCTTCCTTCCCATCTTTTTTCCAAACATTTAACTGTGTCTTGTGAAACACCCATGCCAACAAATGCCTCAACATTCTTTATCTCTTCATGGGCTTTTCTCTATATCTCTCAGCTATATAGGGAAGGGAAAAGGAAAATGTTTTAGGGATAAAGTATACAGGGGCGTGGAGGCCTTAGGTTGAAATGTAAATGAGTGTTTATTTTATTATTCTTCTACCTATACATATTCATTACATACATGCTTTTATATGCATGACCTACTTCATAATTGAAAAATATTTTAAAAGTAACAATCACTGTTTCTTTGAGGCATGCATCATCTAGTCATAACACTCTTTATTTCTTTTCGTCAACCACTGCCAGTTACTGAAGAACTGGTTGCTCTCCCTTATCTATTGCAGTATTGATTGATCATCTTCTCTGCAAGAGCCTGCTGTCAATCTGGTTGATTTCAGTATCCAATTCGTACCTGTCCAACAAACTGGATTCTGAGTTCCTTAAGCTCCTTGATTCAGAGTTATTTTTCTTCCCACTTTCTCAGCCTCTCTGCACTATTCAAATCAGAAATGCCAAAAAGCCACCCACTAATTTAAACTCGACTTTCCAGGTGTATGTTTGCTTCCGTTACCCTCTTTTCACTCGTTTTTCTACCTCGTTGGATCTCCCATTCCCACAAATTTCTTTTTATCCCTTTCTTTCACTCCCTTCCAATGTTCACTTTCCTCTGTAGATATTTTAATCCATCTCCTCCATCATTCTTTTGACTTTTTTCGATTTTTAAAAAATCAATCTGTCAGCCGGGCTCAGTGGCTCAACCTGTAATCCCGTGCCTTTGGGAGGCTGAGGTAAGTGGATTGCCTGAGCCCGTGGGTTCGAGACCTGCCTGGACAGCGAGACCTCATCTCTACAATAAATCAAAAAATCAGCCGGGCGTGGTAGCACATGCCGGTAATTTCGGCTACTCAGAAGGCTGAGGCGGAAGGATTGCCGGAGCCCAGAGGGTCGAGGCTGCGGTGATCGGGAGCGGCCACTGCACTCCAGTCTGGGCGACAGAGTGAGACTCCAACTCAAAAAAAAAAAAAAAAAATCAATTTGTCTTTTCATTGTACTTTCCTGGAAAGACTCCATACTTGCGTATGTCCAACCATTCTCTTTCCTGCTCTTGAGAAGCTCAACTTTTCTAGAGAAACTCATCAAACTGTGCTGAATGGTACCACAATAAATTTGCAGTCACTGAGCTCACTGCTCACTATTGCTGGATTGTCTATGACATTTTCCATCAGTCCCTTCTCTCACTCCCCATGGAAACTTCTCAAGTTCCTTCCTCTCTCCTCAAGCAACTGACTACACCAGGCCTCCTTCTACCCTCCACAGATGACTTCCCTCTTTCTTCAGAAAGTAAATTTAAACTATCATACACAAATGATCTTATCTTCTAGTCCACACATCTGGAAATAAGGATATGTATCAATCATTCTATAGCACTTTCTTCCTAGAGAAGAGTTGTGTCTCCTTACCACATTTGGGATTGCCGCCCTTCTTTTTTTGGGAGCCATCCTCACTTAATCATCTCTCCTATTCCATATCTTCCACCTCTCCCTTTCTACCAGCTCTTTCCAACCAACATTTAAACATTCCAACTAAGTTTCACCCTCAAAAATACCTCCTATAACTTCAGTTTCTCTTCTGGTTCTTTACTTCTTTCCTCCACTTCTGTTAAGAGAGGCATAACTTCTGATTATTTTCAGTAACTGAGTAGATTTTTAGTACCAGTCTTTTCTTCGGGTCCAAGTCAAGTACAAAATGATTAGAATCATGAGAACTGTACCATTCAAGTCTACTAATTCCATTCGTTGATGCTTGATTTATTGATTGACCCAAAATGTGTTTCTTCTTTTGTTTGTGCTGAACAGTAAAACAAGCTAGGCTAAGCTAAAAGAGCTGGTGTTAAATCAAACAATCCCTGTCCTGTCCCAGGAGGTGGAATTTTCATCATCACTCATGGGATCGGTTCCAAGCTGAGTCCTGAGTGAGTCCACCCTCTTTGTAGACCTTGCAATTGGGAATGCAGTTCCCAGTTCCAAGACGTCATCAGCCGAGAAATAGAAGATCCTTGAAAGGCCATGTAAGTGACCTGATAAGTGGTTATACTCCAATTTCATAGCATTTGTTTTGATGGGTCACCTCCATTTGAATTTGTTGCACTTATCAGCAGTTCACATATTTTATTTTGTGAGGTTCAAATTGCAAATAGAGTTGCTTCTGAGAAAAAGTTGCAGTGTAATTAACACACTTTTTCCCCACAATTTCAAGTTAAAAACATACATTTTACTATAAATGGTCACCATATCTATGGCATTATTTGATCACATTATGCCTCTGATTTTATTTCCCAACCTTCATTTAAATCCATTTTCCTTTCAAAACTCCATGGCAACTGTTCTCACACCTGCACAGACACCTTAAATCAATGTGTCCAAAGACAGAAGTCATGATCTTCTCCCTCAAATCTGCTCTCCTTCCAGAATTCCTGGGCTCAGCAAGCAGCTTTACCATCTACCCAACTAAGCATATCAGAAGTCACCCCTAGCTGGGCTCGGTGGCTCAGCCTGTAATCCCGCGCCTTTGGGAGGAGTGAGTGGATTGCCTGAGCCCGTGAGTTCAAGACCTGCCTCAGCAACGAGACCTCATCTCTACAATAAATCAAAAAATCAACCGGGCGTGGTAGCACATGCCTGTAATTCTGGTTACTTGGAAGGCTGAGGCGGAAGGATC